GTAGTAATTAGCAATTCATTTAATTTTATATTTGAACAGATTTGTTACGTGACAGCATTATTTAAAGTTTCTTAAGTGTCAAGATCATGTTATCTAGATCTCCTGCGCTCCATCAAGCCACTCCCATAATATCTGTCAGCACTCAAATTAATGCACGACTCTACATTATCTGTATAGCATGTGTGTAAGACTCGAATACAATTAGGAAGTAATACTTTTATGACGAATAAATCTTTCAGTGAGTAAAGCTGGCTGTGTCTATAGTATTAAAGACTACACAACATTATTATATTATCTTTAAATTAATTTTTAAATGATTATTATTTAAAATTATTGTCCCTGGATTAGTAGGGTACTCTTGTAATAAAGTAGCGGTCAGCTTTTGGAAGTAATACTTTTATGACGAATAAATCTTTCAGTGAGTAAAGCTGGCTGTGTCTATAGTATTAAAGACTACACAACATTATTATATTATCTTTAAATTAATTTTTAAATGATTATTATTTTAAATTATTGTCTCTGGACTAGTAGGGTACTCTTGTAATAAAGTAGCGGCGGCTGGGACAGATTTTAAGTATCAATTCTGCTTAAGAAGATGCAATCTAATCCTGTTTACATGAAATAAGGTGCTCCCAAGCAGGTTTAAATTTACGGAGCTGTTGCTATGACAGCAACTCCGGGATGAGCTTCGAAGAACCAACCAATCCAAGATCAAGATCCATGCCAAATCATCAACAATCAAATCCAGCTAACTGAGTTAGCGACATATGAAGAACGGGCCCCGGATCTTTTTCTAGCCTGATTTCAGCAATACAATCAAAGTTTATGATAGCATTACTGTCAGATCTTATTGTTGACATTATATGTCATGTACATGCAAGCTTGGTGAATTATCATTAAGATTTGAGTCCTTCCACATTGACTTTTAAGATTGGAAATAGCTACTCGGAGGAATTACTAAGATGGCAACTGAATGGGCTTTCTTCAAAATAAAGATGGATTTGAAAAGCAAATCAGTTTTATTTTCTACTATTGTAATAATCTTTATTGCATTTATATGTTAACTGTCATTAAATTAGTCTATTTGCAAGATTTAAGAAAGGATGCATTACTTACAACAGCAGTGGGGCTGCAAGATGTTTAGAAAAAAAAAGGCTATGTAATATTTTGATTTTCTGCAATATTTATTAGGATATGGAAAAAATAAACAGATTTTCTCTAAATGATTTTGGAATATCAATCATTCTGAATGATTGGGGTGATTTTGTAGTAGAGTGCATCTGCACTGGGAAAAAAATTAAATAGTTAAATAGTAAATTGTTTTTTACGTTGTATGATTATTAATGATTCAGGAAAAACTCACAACTTGGGCATTCATGTTGTTGTTGATTTTACTGTTGTTGACTTATTCAGAATGACTAAAAAACTCATTATTATTTAGATTTTTGAGATTATTAAAAAGATAAAAAACAAATTATAATAATAACTTTTGTACTGTAAAATAAAAAGGACCATTTGATAAAAGACTAATAATCATTTGATTTTATATTACAAATGTGAACTTACAATACTAATATTAACATCTTCTCTATTTTATAACATGTCTCTATTTTATTTCCTGAAATCTTCAAGCTTTTATCTTGGAGGAAAACCACAGGGAGTCCTTAAAGCTTCTCGTTTGTTGGCAACAGGTTTAAAAATGAAATGCTTCTCATTTCAAATCTGGTGAAATTAGTGAATTGGCAATTGCAGCCAAATCGCAATTTTGATTTTTAATTATTATTATTATTATTAATAAACCTTTATTTTATATTTATGTATTGTGCAGCATAAACAGTAGGTGATAAAAATACTAGAAATGTGTATAAAGGAATCTGTATCAGTTTGATTTCATGTTGACTGCTGAAACACACACGGACTTCATCTGGCCCTGAGCGAGCAGAAGCAGAGCTCAGACCATGAGAGGGCATCTTCAGGTGTAACTTCCAGCGTACATCTAACTGCATTACTGGATGGGCTGGTTCAGAAGATCTGGCAATCTGAATACTCTTCATATATCAAAATGATTGGCCTGATTTCATTATCTAATGGCGGTCTGGAAAAGTAATTAAGAAGGGACTTTTTCATGAGCATGTGCTTCTCTGAATGAAGAAAAGCAAGCGAAAGAGGAACAAGAGGAGGAGAAGTGATGTGCAAAAAGGCTTTGATCTGACAGCTGTTGATCTCTGCACTATGACAGTGCTGCTTTTGTCCCCTTTCGGATTATGTAACCATTGCTATTTATCTCTATAATGATTCACTTGCTCTTTAAAATGAAGAAACGGACAGTTAATACTGAAAGGTGTTTCACCCTGGGTTTTGTAATGCCACAAAAGTCTGACAAAGGCATTTTTGCACTTCTTCAATCTAAATGTAGCTTCTGCCAGCATGTGTCAAGTGTTCCAGGGCGACCCATCATGAAGAGCATTGAAGCGTATACTAGGCTTGCTGCGATAGACAGTGTTTTCGGTTATACCGGTGTTAAGCCGCAACACCGGTTACGTCATTTGCCTACCGCGGCACCGCCCCCCACCGTCGTTTAGATTTTTTAGAAAGGAGAAGATTGTTTAGAAAGGAAATGCAAAGGCGCCTGTTTGGCAATATTTTAGATTTTGAAAAGCCTATTGACTGGAAGTTTTTTTAAACATTCATTTCTTATTCATTTGGTTCCACGGTGTTTGCTGATTACTTTATTTATACTTTGTGTATTTTATTTATTTTATTTTGCATCAAGGTGTATATGCCGTGCCTTCAAGCTTTCTTATTCGTTTTGCTAATAAACGTTCTATGTTTCTTATTTATTT